AAATTTGAATTGTATTAAAAAAATAAGTAAAAACAGGGGAAAGGAGTCCAAGATGGCAATATTTTTATTTCAGTCTCACCTCGACAATAGAGGGCTAGAAGAGCCTCTATGAACCGACCTCATCTCGTTGTCATTCCTATATTCTGTCACATTCTGTAACACGTCCCTAAAACCAACAGATTTTGTTAACAAAAATACTAAATGTATACACATTGGTTCACATTCACTTTCACATCTCTCTCACATGGGGGTAGGGCCCGCGATTTTTAAATCTACACCTCCTATGCGAGAGGGATAAAAATCGCGAGCCCCACCCCAATGTGAGAGAGATGTGAATGTGAATGTAAACCAAGTGTGTAAGTGTAGCATTACACTTTTGTTAATTAGCAGTGAAATTGTAACAATCATTATATAAATGTGGGTGGATGCCAAGATGCCAGCACACCACTATATGCACGTAAAAAAAAAAAAAGTTGAAAAATAGAAACGAGCGTAGTTTGAGTGCACTTTCTAACGTGTCAAGTAAGCATTATTGGTTAATTTTGATGAGATAATTGTTGACAATAATGTTTTAAAATTTTCAAATTAATATCTTATATTTCTTGTAATTTAATTTTTCAGTTCTCTTATTTCAATTTTCAGATTCAATACAAGATTTAATCTCATTATTTTATTTGTAACATATATTTAATTTGATTAATTTTCATTGTGAGAGTGTTGAATTTCTCCATTATAAAAGGGGTGGATTTCTCATTGTTTTACATACAACAACAACAACAAAAAATATTTGAAAAACACTCTTTAGTAATTTCATATTATATCTTCTTTGATAATTTTGTTAATTTAAGGACTTGTTCTTTCTGCCCACGTGGTCATGCTCATAAAAAGATAACCAACGAGTTACAAGGGTTTTATCTGAGCCGTACAGTGCCCAAAGTACCTGCACGAAGAAGAGACCACACGACTTTAGAACAGTGTTTATCGCAATTCTCTTAGACCAACTTTTCTAATTATATTCTCATATTTATATTATTTGATTCATGCTTGTAGTTGATAATTTATTACACAAATCATGTAATTTTTACAATGATAATGTGACGTAGTCCTGTAATTTGAAACAAAGTGGAATTGAGTCGCACAATTGAGAGCCTGTTTGGTAAAAATTTTTATTTTTTACAGTAAATCAATTCTCATTTTCAACCACACATTCTTCAATAAAATAATATTTTCCATCACATCAATACTTTTTTCTACTTTTTCAACCACACATTTCCCATCATATCACTATTCAAAAATCAATTCTTCCCC